TTTATCATTTCTATTCATCTTAGAATATATTTCCGAAGTTCTAAAAATTTTCTTCAGTTTCGTTACTGCGCTCTGATACCAATTAATAAGCGGAAACAATTAAAATATACAAGTAGGGGTATAATAGACCAAATACAAATAAAAAGACAAATATAAAGTATTGTTTTTCTTAATGAATCTCAGCTGTCCATTTACAAAATCTCAACCCTACACCTCATTGTGTTAACAAGTTTTGTTAATTAGCTACTTGGTACAAGTAGCAATATTCCTCACATTAGGGCTTAAAGTAACCATGGACTTATCAAAGTCGACTAGCTGATGCATTGCCATAGGTTTGGAGGACAAAATTTATAATAAGTCAACCAGTGTAGCTCAGACGAACAAAAGTGAGTCATCCACGAAGAATAGATGTCTTACCCTCAATCCCGTAATTCAGCTTGCTGAATAAGGGAGGATAATCCCTAAGCACATAATAGAAATAGGTACGGAGATAATGGACAATCATGTCCGAGTCCTCTGCTAGGCACTACATGACCATGTTCTCGATCATATGTAGAATGAGAATGTGGCTGCAGTCTGTAGATACACAATCCATTACCATATCGACCCACCTATTCGAAAACCCCATTTTACTCATCATAGTGCTTAAGAAGGTCCAATCAACCCGATCGTAAGTTTTGATCATGTCTAATTTGAGTGTTATAAACCATTCAGGTCCATTTTTTTCATGTCCCCGTCAAATGCAGAAGCTCAAAAACTAATATGACATTGTTAGTAATTAGACTGTGTTGGGAATTTACTTAATCATGCACAGCGAAAATAAAACAATTTTCAATTCCCACCAAGGATCTGCAATGTGTTTAGATAGAAATTATGATAAGAATTATACCTTTAATGAATTCTGCGAACTCTTTTGCTGATTCTCNCCGTTAAAGGAAAAATTTCAGGCCCTATCTGTCGTAAAATACATGTTCACTATGGTTGAAACTGTTGGGAATTTACTTAATCATGCACAGCGGAAATAAAATAATTTTCAATTCCCACCAAGGATCTGCAATGTGTTTAGATAGAAACTGTGATACGAATTATACCTTTAATGAATTCTGCGAACTCTTTTGCTGATTCTCGAACTCCAATGATCACGATCTACAATCCAAACTGTCCAATTGTTCAGCCTCCAATGGTGATCCACTAGGGTTTTCTTTTCTTGTGCTAACAAGAATAATGAAAAATTTATATAGTTTACAAACCCTAGCAGCCTATTAATATAAGTTCAAGTGGGCTGACCCATCTCTAAACTTAACCCGATCCGATATTTAATTAATCAAATTAATTAAATACGGTCCATGAATTAATTAATCC